GTATAAAAATATATTTTAATTACCTTACTCATTCTGTGCACAATTTCCAAAGACTCAAACTTGACCCAAACAACAATAAGATAAATGGATTTCTCAGGGCCAAGGCAGCAAAGAAGGGAGCTGTGGCTTCACATGAGAATTGACTGTCCAGTGAAATATCTTCCATGAGCTAATTATCTTAATAGGGATTTTCTTTTCTCTGCAGTTTTCCTGCTGGACCTCTCTTTTGTGACTTATGCCCTTAGTGTCTTCTGCAGAACAACAGTCTTGCTGTAAACATCCCCATAGCAATGCCTCACTAATGTGCACATCACTGACAAAAGGCCAGTTTCAAGGTTCTGAGCTGCTCTAATTACCCAGTCTCCATTGTGCTGCTCATTAAAGAGCAACTTCCGCCAACAAACGCCCATGCTCCCTCCCACTCGCCCCAGCACACATGATCAGGTGATGATGGGAAAAATGACAGCATCATTATGTTCCTCTGCCAGTAAGCAGCACACGAGCAGGCTGCTGGACTTCCAGGCTGGATTAGGATTTTTTTCTGTTGGCAACAAGGGTATAAGCAGGCCACTCAAAATCACACATCTGGTATATTACAGCCTGTTTAATGACAGTAAAGACCCTTAAACCATATAACCTGATTTAGTCCTCTTTCAAAGGGAGTCGAATACAATATACATTGAACACAGGGGCTTCAAAATTAGGCACTGCCGCTGGATGATCTCTAAACTAGGCAGAAACGAAGCAGGAAAGAGCTGACTGTAACAGCTATAGTGTGGAGATCAATTCCTGCTTAGTTTCCCTGAGTATCCAGCGGAGGAGAGGGTCAGGTTTTCCAAGTGCACGACTAAGTCTGGCTTACTGTCTTCTTTCTTTTTTCTCTTGGTGGGGGTGAGCAGAGCAGAGAATGCAGGAAGGATGGAGAAGAAAAGGAAACTCTTTTTGAAGTTTCATGATCCTTATTTTTAATGACTCTTCTGCACCATCCCTTCAAAGTTATTTAAAAATCCTTGTGCCAAATTTGAAGACTCAAGCATAGTGAACTAGGTTCCAGGCATCTTCTATTATACTATTTTTTGTTTTGTTTTGGTCACACAGCCAGGACTAAAAATGCAAAGTCAATGTGCATTTCAAAAGATGAATTGGCATCTCAGGACTTGAATAAACCATAAGGAGCTTCCCACCTCACTAAGAAGAGCCAGGCTTATTCTCAGAATTCTGTCCGCCATCCCTACAACCTTATGAAAAGAATGACTCACAAATGGCCAGCTCCTGCGATAGTTTTAAAAATGAAATGATTCCCACAGACAGGTCTCATCAACTCTTCTCCACCAAAATCATAAATTGGCTAAAAGACTTTGTCATTAACTAGCAAGATACACACTGTGCTCTAAGAAGCCCCAGCTTTCTGACTCTTGATTTGCTTTATTCAACCAAGAAATGGGCAGCTTATGGTGGCAAGAAGTTGGGACTCTGTCTGGAAGGCTTTGAGGTGGGACTCAGTGAGGACAAGGTGGCCCACAGAGTCCTCAGACCCTGACAATGGATGCCCAACTGGGCCTAACTATGTTCTTCTGGGAATGGCCCCTCCCAACGTTTGAAAAGAGGGTCTGGGGAAGGCAGATGAGGGGCGGTGAGGGGTTGGAGGTGTTTCCCGTCCCTGCAGCATCTGCCTTAGACTTTGTTAGGCCTTGCCACTGATAGAAAAGTGAGTAGAACCTGGGGAGCCATGGGCTGTCTTGCCCACAGAGGAATTTTAGGGCTCTGGATTATGATGGACCCAAAGTAGAGCTTTTTGTTCGTTGGCGTTAGAGCGAAATCATTACAAGTAGGAAAGGTGCTCCAACTACACAAACAAAAACAAAAAATATGAAGAATCATCTTCTAAGCTGGCCTTTGTGAACTCTACACAAAAATTGGAAACTTTATGAATTATGTAATTTACCTATTAGCAGTCCTACAAATGCAGGCTCAGTAATATTTAGCAATTATTTTTTTATTAAGCATCAACTAGGCCCCAGGCTGGAGAAACAGGGGTAAACAAGGCAGAATGTAACAAGAATGAACTAGAAGATTAGCTCCCTGTGAGCAGCCACTCATCACTACTGTATTTCTGGAACCTAGAACGGTGTTTGGCACTGAGCAGATTCTCACTAAACGCTGAATGAATGGCTGAGACAGACGTAGTCTATGCCCTCATGGGACTTACCACCAAGTGCGAAGCAGCTTGCCATACTAGAGAGAGAACTGGACAAGGGGCAGGGCACCAGGTCCTAGTCCTGTCACCAACTGGCTATAAGACCTGGGTGATGTAGCTGGCTCCTTGGGATCTCAGATTACAAATGAGGGCATCTGACACAATCTTCTGTAAAGTCTTTCTAGTTATAACATGCTGTAATTCTAAGATCCAACAATGAATTTGCTCAGGCTTTTACACGTGAATAGTGTTATAAGAGGTACTTGAGATAATATTAAAAAGTCCATATTCCTTGGAAGCTTAAATGCTAGTAGTGTGGAAAGCTAAATATGTCTGTCTAAATAGAATCCCCAATTACAGGAATGCACAGATGGACAAGTGTTAAGTTAGTGATCATGGGCAGAGGTTGAAGAACCTGTGGGTAAGATCCAGGGCCGATTCTTGAGCTGTAATTTAAGAGGCAAGGGGTATGAGAGACATATGGTATCCACTTACCAGCCAGAATACCCCAGAAGTCCACACTGCCCACAGACATCAACCTCAAAGGCATCACTTGAAATCATTAGTCTTTCGAGCAAAAGCATACTGGCTCCATAACCGATTAAACAGTCACGTTCCATTTCTCCAAGACGCAAACCCCCATCACGAGAGCGACCTTCAGTTGGTTGCCTTTGAAACAAGTTATTAGACAAATGTGTTATTATCATATTAAAGAAAGAGACAGCAGCACAGTCTTTGAAGCAGAGCTCACCTGGACTCAAATCACTTACTAGTTGGTGACCCTGAGCAGGCTCCTCAGCCTCTCTGAGCCTCATTAGTAAAATGTATATAGAACACCTACCGTAAAAGGCATTACATGTGAAAAGATGTAACACTAGCGGTCGGTACCCTGTAATTTAAAAGCAGAAAAACAATGCAGAATAGACTGTGGAGAAACCTGGGTCCAGGGCTCCAGGAAGGAGCTTTACCATTAAGACATAAATTAAATGTACACATACACACACAAACAAGAAAAAAACCCAAATGGATTCTTTAAATAAATAAAATTTGGAATAGATCAGCAATCACCTGGAAGGCCAGACTGCCTGAGTTGGATGGGAGGTTCCCCAGGGATTGGGAACGTCCACGTATTCCATTTAGGTCCCTCCTGCTTGCATGATAACACTCCACTCTCCCTTAGAGGGACACTTTTAAACTGGGAAGCTGTGAGCCCTGAGAATGGACTTCCCGTGGCTTATGTAGATGCTGGGCTTGAGAATACTTTCAAAGGTCAAGAACTCAGGACATGGAGATTCTGGAACATCTCAGGCAACCCCCGCTGAGTACTGATGGCACAACTTATTAAAAAAACAAACAAACAAAGCAAGCCCCCTGGTTGGCTTATTTTGGAGTGATACTCATCTGCGGTGCTCTCAAGAAGGGGTGGGCCATACACCCTTTGTCTGCTTTATTCTACAGTATGTTTTAATCTTTATTGTTGTTATTGTTGCCAGTCCCCCAAAGAGTTAAGGTGAACACAGTGTATGCCAACATACGTGTAAATTTTTATATATTTTTTGTTTTGTTTTGTTGTTGAAAGTTATAGTGGGAAACTGATTTGAGTTACAGATTAATTGTTGAAAAAAATTTACATTATGAACAACTTACAAATAGATCTAAATGAACACACCATAGTGGAAACATCACACCTGGGCACAACATTCACACACTCAGGTCTGTTGGCAGAACTACCCATGGGTAAGGGCGCTGTCCACCTGTGGTCACTGAACAAGGTGAAGGTAGTCAGACCACATGTGAGCAGAATCCAACCCTTGGATTTTAACCAACCGAGATAACCGACTACACCCTAGTGCACTCTAGGCAGTCTTCGTATGGAATACACAGAAGTAATGTCAAAATAATAACTTCTTGTACACAACAAAGCAAAAAATGGGAAATAGCTGCTTTAACATTTGTGTAACTCTGAAATAGTTTTTGGATGCTGTAATTGAAATGGAAATTTAGGAGAGGGCATCATTCACGGGAGAAACACATCTAACCCAAGTAGGATCTCCTTGCTGCAGTGATTACTGTCTTGAGAATCTCAACTTTTCTTCCCTCTTGCGCAGTTTTCAGTACACATGCGTCTATTATTTCAACAGACATGCGCATCTGCTCAGTCTTAAATGATGAAGGGACTGAGTCATCTATTCCTCTCCTCTCTGATGGTTGAAAACCTCCAAACCCAGACACTAGCTGCTCCATGTTCCCTCCCTCTGAACTGAAGCACACGAACAGTGCTCAGTGAGATGACTGCTGAGCATCTCCTATGGATCACCACTGCATACTTTCTTTATTCAAACACTTGACAGTCACCAGAACCCTGTGAAGTCGATATTATTGTCTCCACTTTATATATGAGAAAAACTGAAGCTGAGAGAAGTTAAGTGATCTGCGCAAGGCTCAAGAGAGTGCTAAAAGGCTGAGAAAAGATTCAAATCCATGTCTACCTCGCTCTGAGGCCTGAATTCACTCCCCTTGCCCAGGGTTCCTCAACTTCAGCACTATCAACACGTTGAGCTAGATAATTCTTTGCTGTGGGGGCTGTCCTGTGCAATGTAGGATGTTTAGCGACATAGTTAGGCCTCTTTCCACTAGATGCTAACAGTATTCCCTCCCAAGCTGTGACAGCCAAAAATGTCTTCAGTTGTCAAATGTCCCCTGGAAGGCAAAATCACCTCTGGTTGAGAATCACTGCCCTAGAATGTTTCCTCCAACTAGGAAATAGGGTGCTAAGAACACATGAAACTTAGTAGTTTGTAATTCTCTTTTCCAGCAATTGTAACAGTCATCAACACACAGGCACTGTGCTTGGAACTGAGGATGCACTGGTGAATGGATAGGTGTGGACCCTAACTTCCTAGAATTTATTTGAGTAAGCATGCAAATATAGTTGTCTTCTGCGTCAATAACAGAGGTTAAAAAAATTTATAATTGTGGTTTAGGCTACCAAATAATGTATGTGTTTTCTGTGTACACATACACATGGGTACATGCAGGAGTATGGATATGTATATGGCAAGTAGGTATACATATTCTTATGTATGAACCTTTCTGAATAGGACCATGTTATGGCACACAGTGAACAGTTGTCTTAGGAGACTACTGACGAGACCCATGGTGTGTTTGCTCTTGTGCCTATGAAATGATTTTTCAATTGGTTGCTATTTCTTCACATTAATCATACATACACCTACTCCTCACTTATCGATTCTCTCATCTGACATTTTGTACTTATGGCAACAGTAAAAAAATCTACTCTCCGATTATTTTGCGCAATACTGAGGAGTGGAGGTGAGAGGGGAGGAGGAGGAGGGCAAGGTTTGCGAGACGGAGTGAGGCCACGCAGGTCGCTGGCAGTTCGTATTGTCCAGGTTAGGCGGAGGAGCCAGGTGGGCCCGCATTAATTGTCGGGTGGGCAGGTGGCGGGCAGGAGGCGGGGGCAGCCGGGGCCACAGGAGCCGGGTGGGGAGCTCGGAAGTCTCTTCTTCCCAAGAGGCCTCTCTGTCACTTCCGCAGCCTCTGCCGGGCCCACGTGGCTGGGCCTCACCTGCTCGCAAGCTGGGAAGCCGTCCACCACCAGGGCCTGTCTCTGGGGCAGGTGGAAAGGGAAGGTGGAGAGGCCTGGAGCACAGCCATGTGATGGTGGGCCCCTGCTGAACTGGAGGTGGCAGGCAACCCCTAACCACCACCCCAAACCCCTCAACCCATGGGCAAGGTGTGGTGGGGAAGGGGGGCCCAATGCACCAAACGCATCCTGAGACATGCTGGGGGTACATGACAGGTGGTGAGCAATGGGGGGTGTACCAGCACTGAGGATAGGGCATGGCCCCTACTCTCACATAATGCCTATTTTCGCATAATGACCTCGACTTTGGAACCTAACCATGTGGATAAGAAAGGAGTAGGTGTATATGATTTTTGTTGATGCCTAACACTAGAATTTTGACACCTCAGGGAAATAAACTTTTTTGAGTCTGTTTATTGATATATCCAGGAAGCGTAAGGTGGGCTTGTCCGCATTATAAGTTCTTTTTACAAATGCATTTCTCTTACCTGGTAAGGACGGCCCGTGGGCCCCGAGCCCGGGCATGCATCTTGTCCAGCACCATGTGCTTCAGTTTCTGATAGTATACGGGGCCGAAATAGATGTATGCTTCTAAGGGCTCGCTGGAAGGAAGGTCAGAGTTTTGGGTTAAGAAAACTAAGTTTGGGTTAACAAGGGTCAGCCTTTTCTAGGACTCATTCCTGGCAATTTCTTACTTATTTATGAAGAAGTTTGTGACTAACTGGGTGAGAATGATTTTCAGTCTGCAATGAATGAAAAGGCTGGATCTGAAAATATCAAAGTAACATAACCTGTTGTCATTGAGTCAATTCTGACTCATAGTGACCCGCTGTGTTTCAGAGTAGAAATGTACTTTATAGGGTGTTCATGCCTGTAATCTTTATGGAAGGAGCCCTAGTGGCACAGTGGTTAAGTGCCTGGCTGCTATTTGAAAGGTTGGTGGTTTGAACCCACCAGCTGCTCCATGGGAGAAAGATGTGGCAGTCTGCTTCTGTAAAGATTACAGCCTAGGAAACCCTATGGGGCAGTTCTAGTCTGTCCTACAGGGTCACTATAAGTTAGAATCAACTCCAGAGCACAGAATTTAATCTTTATGGAAGCAGCTAGCCAGGACCTTTTTCTGCCAAAGTACTATACCCTTCCTTGAAAGGAAGGCTATTATTTAATTAAAACAAACACAAACTTAAACAAGTTATGAAACAGTATGTCCAGGGAGTCCCTCCTTCACAGTTATCACCCTAGTCAGGCCACCATCCTCGCTAGCCTGAACTACTACTGCAAACAATCTCCTAACTGGTCTCCCTGCTTCCACTCTTATCCCTCGACCATCTATTCTTCACATAACAAGCCAGACTGATTTCTTCTAACATGTAAATCAAAGCAGGTCATTCTTCTGCTCTAAACTCCCCAATGGTTACCCATTTCACTCAGAATCTATATCATCAAAATTCTGTATCATAAGGCCCACCATAATCCTGCTCCTGCCCACCTGATTCATTCTCTATTCCGTCTCTCCATTGCTCATTCTATGGCCTCATCATTGTTCCTCAAATGTAGCAAGCCTGTTCCTGCCTCAAGGCCTTTGCATTTACTTTTTCCCCTGCCTGAAACATTCTTCTGCTGGGTCTTCACATGGCTCTGCGAACATTTCACCTCCTCAGAGAGATTGTCCCTGGTCACCTCATCCAACAGTCCTTCCCCAGGTCCCAGCATTGCCACTCTCCTGCCCTGTCTACAACCTCACCCTAACTTTATCTTCCTCAGAGCACTTACCATCACCTGGTATTACGTTACACATTTATCACTCTCCTGATTATTGTCTGCCTTCCCCACAAGACGTGAACTCCGTGAGGATGAGCACGCTGTCTTCGCCGCCACTGCAGCACTAGCGCCTACAGGCCCGCCTGCCACATGACTGGTGCTCATTCTGTTTGTTAAATAACTGAGTCCATGGATTTTGAGTAAACTGTAGTAAGAGTTTAAAAAGAGAATGAAATAAGTGCTTTGATAGAAAAAGTTTTTTTTTTTTTTTTAAAGTCTGGAACAAGAGTAGCCAGGAGATACATGTCTTTAATTTTTTTTTTAAGTGTCCTGGAACTTCCTTCCTCAAAGGAGAAGAAGCACCTGCCATGTGCCATTTAATCCATGATTTAATCCATACAACAATCTAGGGAGAAAGATGTTGTCATCCCTACGTTTAAGGTGAAGAAATACGCACAGAGGGCATGAGAGGATAAATAAGAGCCAGCGAGTAGAACAGTAGGGATTGAATCTAACGCTCTCCCTGCCATGCAGGCCAGTCTGGAAACAAGTACATTCTGGGCTACAGTATGATGTAAGAGTGGAGAAAGCCAAGGAAGCAAGAGACACGGCAGAGAGGCAAATGAAAACATTTGGCCCTTGCTTGCTTGGTGCATCCTACAACATTCTCAGCATCATTAGCAAAGGCCTCTGCAGTTATCAAGCAATTCCAGCTGGCTTCGATACAACCGGATTCTCGGAAGACATAGAGAGGAGAGGAAGGCACAATGGACAGGGCAGGAGACCCTGTTCTTGTCCCAGCTCCATTACTTCCATGACCTTTCTATCTGTTTTCTTAGCTGTACAACAAGGTGGTCAAGGCCAAGGTTCTTTCCAGCTCTAATAATGAATGATTCTATTCCTGAATCATATGGTTGTTTGCTCATGGTAGAATTTATGGAACTGTTACCCAATGCCATTCCATCATCAACAGAATAAAGGTATATGATATTTTTCTTCCTAGCTATGTTGAAGAATATAACAAGGGATGAAAGCTGGTGGCTGAATGTGTTTTCAAGCCCTTTGTGAACTTTCAACAGACTAAACAGTGCTTCTCAAACTTTTCCACTGAGATAAATGACAAAGAAATGAAAACTGTGGTTGGGAGGAGGGTGGCAGGGGGAGGTAGTGAGGGCTGGGATAGCCTATAGCTGTCTATAGCAAGCAGGACTTTTTTTTTTTTTTTTTGTGAAACCCACGTGGATTTTACATTATCCTCCACAGCATCTTTGAGGACTAAGGTGCACATGACTCAAGCCATGGTATTTTCAATTGCCTTGTATGTATGCAAAAGCTGGACAATGAATAAGGAAGACTGAAGAAGAATTAATGCCTTTGAATTAGAGTATTGGCAAAGAATACTGAATATGCCATCGACTGCCAGAATAATGAACAAATCTGTCTTGGAAGAAGTACAGCCAGAATGCTCCTTAGAAGCAAGGATGGCGAGACTACGTCTCACATACTTTGGACACGTTATCAAGAGGCATCAGTCCCTGAAGAAGGGCATCATGCTTCGTAAGTAAGGGTCAGCGAAAAAGAGAAAGACCCTATATGAGATAGATTGACACAAGGGCTACAACAATGGGCTCAAACACAGCAACCACTGTGAGGATGGAATAGGACTGGGCAGTATTTCGTTCTGTTGTATGTAGGGTCCGTATGAGTCAGAACTGACTCAAGGGCACCTGACAACAAAAACAATAACTTCACAACGTATCAGTGTTTAATATTATCTTTTCCTATCCAAATCTTTCAGTAAAATTATGTTACGTGAAGAGGTACCAAACTGATCCTGAGTTTTGCATGCTTTCTGGTCCACATCTGCATTACTTCTGGGTGGAGAAGTGAGAACTAAGATGATTAGTTTAGCACTGACAACTGCCGTTTTTTGAAATGGACCCCTAGCAATTTACTGTACCATTTTTGAAAAGGACTACTACTCTTTTACTGTAATGTGATTTTGCTATATCTCAAGCATGACACACCTAAAGAAATCCAAATTATTACAGTCTGAATAGATCATTTTAAAAAGCACTTGATATATATATATTTTTTAATTGTACTTCAGGTGAAGGCTTACAGAACAAATAGTTTCTCATGAAACAGTAGTACACATATTGTCCTATGACATTGGTTAACAACCCCACAACATGTCA